CAAGGATTGAGTCCCCTGTCCCCACTCATCCCCCTCAAAGGATGGAATAAACTTACTCATAAAAGGAAAGTTTGGAAGAGAAGACTACTAAAGTTGGTTTTCCCCAGGGCCAGTGCTTATACATTTTTATAATGTTTAATGGCAATGTGGTAACTATATAGTTCTCTAGGATGCCATTGCTGTCCTTTCAAATAGGAAGTATTTCTGCATTCATATAACATGAATGCTGCAAAGGTTGGTGGCTTACTTAGTTTAAATGCAAATACTTGTTTCATTGTATCTTGGAGGAGAACCTTTAAAATTAGTATGAAAATAGAATGAGAAAAGACATTAAAGTTAAATTGCATTAGTTAGGATATTTTAATTTTGAAAAATTCTAAAATTGTGTATGTTATTTCAAGTTTTCTTTGAAGTAGACCATACCGAGAACGGGGTTAGGAAGAAGACAGAGTACTGAAGGGATGGGTGGCTCAAGCTAATCTAAGAATCTAGGAGGGTAGAAAGAAGTACGAAACCTTTAAGAACAAGGGAAATTTTTTTTCAAACTAGTTTCTAATTCTTGTAAATCCAAAGAAGGGAAAAGCTAGTTAGAATAGCCAACTATATAGAAAAACAAAGTAGGTTCCATTGACTGCAAGGAGAATGTTTCAGATTGGGTTGTCTACAGTTTTCTCAGTTTCTTCAGTGATTTTTCATGAAAGACCTCTGCACTTAGACTAAACTTAAAAGCAGGTTTTAATTAGGAAGTTGAAATGTAAATGAATTAAAAGTTTACCATGTATTTCTAAAATTAAACTTATTTAAAATCATCATTTTCATATTGGGCCTTAAGAAATTTGATTGTTTAAATCCTTGTCTTCTAGAAATAAGTATCAGATCATTTACTGATGAATGATATGGTGTATGGGAATTTCTGTGGAATAATCAGGGAAGGCATAATGGTTGGTGATGGAGGTAAAGCAGGATTAGCCATGTGTTCCTTATTCCTTTTTTGCCCTTTTTTCTCCACCTTATAGCATAACAATTCTTAATCCTCTTTTCACACTATAGTGAAACATGCAGAAACAGGCAAAGTAATAAAGACTGTCTGGATAAGGTCTGCTATGGGTTAATTTTTCAAGTAGCAGTATATTCTTACATTAACTATATTATTTAAGATAGAAGAATTTTCTACTATTAGCCTAGCAATCAGTTCAAAAAGTAGTTCTAAGGTACTGCAAAAGGTGAAAGCCACTGTAGTCTCCTGATAAAAGTGGTTTGGTGTGGGGAGGGGGCTGTGGTTTATAGTGACAGTGCAGTATTGACAAATATATCTCTATGGTGTCTCTTTTTCTATGGTTTTACTATAATGAATCTTACTTTCTTGTTCTAGGCTGCTGAAAATATGACAAGCTGACTTTCTGGAGAAATCCTGATGGGATATGTCAAGCTCTGCAGGAAGATTTGAAGATTGCATTGGAGTCAAGAATGTACAATGAAATTGCTGCATGCAGCAGTGTAGAAACATTTTCCTTTTTTAAAAGAATTATAAAACCATAGCTTTATAAATCAGTGGAAAGTGGCTTACAGCGAGAACTATCAGATGTGTTTATGTCACATCTTACTTTTTTTTTAACAGCTCTAGTGCTTTGGCATTGCTCTGTTCATATTGATGTGTTCCTTATTTATAGCTCTGATAGCTTTAATTTTCTAAGCAGTCTGTCCATCAGTTGTGCACGTCTCCTGTGCCTGGTTGAAGTACAGTGGAACCCATCAGTAGAAATGTAGTAATGACTTGTTGACATTTCCATTATAAACTTTCATTTTGAATTGTTTATGCATAATAACTCTGGATTTACGTTGTTTGGGGCTGAAAGTTGACAAAATTTCAGCCACCGTTTGTGAATTTTGGTTTAGATGCGTTATGTATATCAGAATCTTGTTTTTTATAAGAGCATGGAAAACATGTTGTAATCTGCTCTTTAACAAAGAATATTTAGTTTTTTAAACCCAGAGTTTGACTGGCAGTTAATAGTGAGAACCAGATTGTTTTTGTATTGATTTAAAAATAGAACTTTGAGAAACTTAGATTTTAAAAGTAGTGACTAGCTTATTAGCTTCGTTATTTATCATTTGAATCATTTAAATTTAATGAGAATATTAATTGAGCATGTTTTTCTTTCTAAGTTTTGTACTCTGTAAATGATGGCCTAAAAAACATAAAAGGAAACATTTCCAACATGCAAAATTCCTTTTTTACTTTTATTGCATAAAAATCAAGTGCTTCCCTAGTACATCCTGAGTGGTTATCTAGTAAGTCACTGAATAGGAGGTGTCTTTCAACAAGTATTTTAATATTTTCTGAAGGAATAAAGATTACAAGTCATTAAACAGAAATAATCAGATGTTCTGAAGCAAGAATTATAAATGTCTTTCTGAGATGATTTTTGTTTGTCATTATTTTAACCCTTAAAGTTTTAACTAGTTAAAGTAATGGTTCAAAATAAATTATAGAAAATTTAGGATAGTATTCATTCTGTTCCTGTAAGAGACTTTCAACAGAATATTTGTCCCAAGACTAGTACCGAGTTAATCTGATTTTGTTTCTTAAATTTTAGGCTTCGTTAGCTTCTGTTTAAATAACAGTACAAGCATTCACTCTTTAGCAGCATTTTTTACTGACAAACTGAAGTAGTTTTAAAAGGCTTAGTAAGGTTTAAATGGCAACCTTCTGTACTGCCATTTTTAAAAATCTAGTCTTTTGACTATTTTGACTTTTAAATGCATGGCATCTTTACCAAGTGCACTGGAAGGTTTATTATTGACAGAATTGGTTGGCAGACAATAATCACTTGTGATGTTATTTGTTTGATCATAAACACTGAAAATACTGCATGTTGTTATTTTTTTAAAGATTGGCACCTGAGCTAACATCTGTTGCCAATCTTTTTTTTTTTTCACTCCTCCTTCTCCCCAAAGACCCCCAGTACATAGTTGCATATTCTAGTTGTAGGTCGTTCTGGTTGTATTATGCGGGACGCTGCCTCAGCATAGCCTGATGAGCAGTGCCGTGTCCGCACCCAGGATCCAAACCGGCGAAACCCTGGACCGCTGAAGCAGAGCACTCGGCCTCGGGGCCAACCCCTGCATGTTGTTATTTATAAAATCGTAAAGAGAACACTTTCGTCAAGCTCCACAATTTGCATTTACTCTTAGGCCATAAGAATATTTTTATTTATGACTTTTTGGATTAAGTTATTTATGTATGAAACAAAGCAGGAAAATATATTGAGAAGGAGTTGTGTTTACAGAGGACTTTAATGTGTTACATTTCAGAAATGTAAACCTATATTTTTAATGCATACTTAAGTAATATTTAAGGAAACCAAACAAAGTAATGATGAAATCAGTGTTGTACGTGTTGTCAGTGACAAAAATAAAACCATTTTGGTGGTATTGGCATGTACTTTTGATTTAATATGTGCTTCTCTGAATTCAACTTGTGTTCCTATAGTTATTCTATAAATATTTAGATGCTTATGTGTGATTAAAGACTGTTTAAAGGTAGGCTATATAATTTACAATGTAAAATTAGGCTTGAGGTATAAAATGGAATACTTTTTCCCCTGGTAGTGAAAGGAGATAGTTGTATTAACATTGCCCCAGGCTTGAAAACAAAGTTGACAATTCAAATACATGTAAGATGATATTTTTCTGTGCCTCAAATAAGAGTTTCTTTACATAGTGGGACTTCATGAAATTTACATGCATGTTCCAAGCATACTTAAAAGTTTTCCAATAACTGAGTCAAATATCAGTGTTAAACTTTAAATAAATTAAAATTAAAAATTCGGTTTCTCACATCATCCACATTTTTTATTGTAAAATATACCTGACATAAAATTTACCATTTTAATCATTTTTAAGTTGTACAGTTCAGTGACTTTAAGAACGTTCACATTGCTGTGCATTCATCACTACTATCCACAACTTTTTCATCATCCAAACAGGAACTACCCATTCTCCCCTTGCCCCAGCCCCAGAAAAATGGTAAATATTCTTCTGCTTTTGGTCTCTGAATTTGACCATTCTAGGTACCTCATATAAATGGGATATTTCTCCTTTTGTGTCTCTTATTTCATTTAGCATGATGTCTTCAAGATTCATCCATATTGTACCATGCATCAGAATTTTATTCCTTTTTAAGGTTGAATAATATTTCATTTTAAGTGTTTACTGTCTCATTTATCCATTCATCAGTTGATGGACATTTGGGATGTTTCTACCTTTTGGCTATTGTGAATATGCTGCTGTGAACATTGTGCAAGTATCTGTTTAAGTCCCTGCTTTCAGTTCTTTTTGATATATTTCCAGAAGTGGAATTGCTGGATCACATGGTAATTCTACGTTTAATCTTTGGAGGAACTGCCATACTGTCTTCCATTGTGGCTGCACCATTTTACACTCCCACCAACAATGCTCAAGGATTCCAATTTCTCCTCACCCTTACCAATGCTTAATTTCTGTTTTTGTTTGTTTCTTTAAATAATAGCCATCCTAATAGAAGTGAAGTGGTATCTAATTGTGGTTTTAATTTGCTTTTCCCTAATGATTAGTGATGTTGAACATCTTTTCGTGTACTTATTGGCCATTTGTGTATCTTTGGAGAAATGTCCATTTAAGTCCTTTGCCCAGTTTTTAATTATTTTTGTTGTTGATTTGTAGGAGTTCTTTGTATATTCTGGGATGTTAATTGCTTATGAGATACATGATTTGCAAATATTTTCTCATTCTGTGGGTTGCTTTTCACTTTTTCTTTTTGCTGGGAAAGATTCACTCTGAGCTAACATCTGTTGTCAATCTTCCTCTCTTTTTTTTTTCTCCCCCCCCCCCCCGACCCAAAGCCCCAGTACATAGTTGTATATTCTAGTTGTAGGTCCTTCTAGTTCTTCCATGTGAGCCACCGTCACTGCATGGCTACTGACAGACAAGTGTTGTGGTTCCATGCCTGGGAACCGAACCTGGGCTGCTGAAGCAGACAGAGCGAGCTGAACTTTAACCACTAGCCCATCAGGGCTGGCTCCACTCACTTTCTTGGTAGTGTTCTTTGATGTACAAATTATGAAAGTTTTGATGAAGTCTAATTTATCTACTTTTTCTTTTGTTGCCTGTGCTTTTGGTGTCATAGCAGAGGCACACCAGGGTGCTCAGTTGACTGGTACTGAGCCATAGCTGGATGAGGACCCTACATAGCAGGAGATCTGCAGCTCCCACAGTCTCCACTGAGAACTGGACAGGAGCCAGGAGCACACTCCTGGACTGGGCTCTGGAGTCAGACTCACCTGGTTTCCTGTTCTGGCTCAGTGACTTTAGGCAAGTTACTTCTGAGATCCAGTTTCCCTATCGGAAAAATGAGGAAAATCCTCTCTACCTCACAGGCGTGTGAGGATTAGATCAGAGTTTGTGTGTGTAAACTGCCAAGTACCTAAAGTGTGTCAAATACTTATTACAAACACCATGCACACGCATGCACACACACACACACACTCTTCCATTGGGCCAGGAGCACAGGGCTGTTAAGAATTATGCATAGAACTGGGATGGTAGGACAAACTAAGCGCCCATGATCAAAGGTTTGATTTCCAGGCAAACCCTGCACTGTCCCTCTTCCTCCCCGTGTGATCTACATAAGTTTCCTTTACTGTTGACACTACGTTAATATTGTCCCCAAGACAGGCAAAATCTTTTAAGACACCATAAGCAACAGTTTGGATCTCTTTGTTAGGAAGCTTACGGGCTGAATTGTGTGTCACCAAAATTCATACGTTGAAGCCTAACCCCCAGTACTTTAAATTTGACTCTATTTGGAGAGGTGATTAAGTTAAAATGAGGTCGTTAGGGTGAGTCCTGATCCAAACTGACTGCTATCCTTGTAAGAAGAGGACGGTTGGACACAGGGAGACATCAGGGATGTGCGTGCACAGAAGATAGACCATGTGAGCATGCTTCAAGAAGGCGCCCAGCCATCTACAAGCCAAGAAAAGAGGCTTCAGAAGAAAACAAGCCTCCTAACACCTTGATCTTGGACTTCAAGCCTTCAGAACTGTGAGAAAACAAATGTCTGTTGTTGAAGCCACTTAGTCTATAGTACTTTGTTACGGCAACTCTAGCAAAGCAATACAGAAACAAATATTTATCAAGTGACTGTTATAGACAAGCCATTGTAAGAGCTAAGCAAATTGGAAAGATGAAATAGGGTTTGTTTTTTTTTAAGAAGACTTAAGGGGCTGCCCTACCCCTCAGTGGTGAAAAGGCGCCCTGAGTTAAGTCCTACTTGGAGACACACTGAAAATAGCCCAGAGACCAGCCAGTCACTTGGGAAACCTGAAATCTAAAAGAATAAAAATAATTTTTTCTGGTAACCGTTCTGAAATAATAGATTTCTTATTTTTGAGGTACGTGATGTTGTAGCTTTGAATACTGACACAATTGAAGGTTACCATTTACGTTAATAGAAGTCTTTGGGAAAGTCTGCATTTTATGTGGCAGAAATGTGCATCTCACTAGTATTGAAACCCACATGAAGTAATAGAAATTGGTTGAATCATTTGCATGCAGGCAGCTTGAAGAAAGTCTCAAATGGACGGTATTGCTGAGAAATCAAAATTGTAGCCCGCTGTCGATTAGGACCTCAGAGAAGGAAATGGATTAATATAAAAGTGCTTTGATAGTCACCAGTGGCGAGGATATTTTCACACAAACTCCATTAAATGAACGGTAGGATTTTTTTACATAAAAATAGAAAATGGATTTTCTCTTCTAAAGGCTTGTTAATCACTTGTCATTAACAGTATATTTTTAAACATAAACAAAATAGTTTCTGTGCCTATTTCAAAAAACAAGTATTAAGTTATTTTTCCACAAATTGCTCTCAAGAGAGAGAATCCTTGACTGAGTTAAAGAACAAAGGCGAGAACAAGATTTATAAGCGAGAGGAGAAAAGAAGGCAAGCAGTCTAGAAAAAGTAAATCTTGTTTGCACTTTTTGGTGGCAAACTAGATAGCTGGCGTTCCATCATTGAGTACACTGAGTAAAGGTATCAAAACAATTTTATTTGTTTGAGGATTCTCCAGAAAACCACGAGTCCTACCACCAGCACCTCCACCTTGCTGAATCAGGTCCACACGATTTCCCTCCTGAGGAAGTCTCACCTGGGATTCTTTCATAAGTCAAATTATTATACAAAGTTCCGTATGCAATTTTAAGTTTAATGAAATTTCTAACACTTCTACAAAGAGAAAGAGAAAAGTAGCAAAAGAGTGTCAGAAAACAACCTAATGCGTTTTATAGGCATAAAGGGGGAATCCACAGAAGTAGATTATTCTAGCTGACATGGAAAGTTATATTTAGGGGAAAGTTGGAAAGGGCTGGAAAGACAGGTTGAAGCCAGATTGTGAATGTTCCTGAACAAGTTCGAAATTCATTCCATAGGCGTCAGAGAAAGGAAGAGACATGGATAAGCTCTGTTAGAAGAATTGCTTTGCAAGTGGAGTAAGCGCAGGATGAATTGAAACGGAGAGACTGGAAGCGGAGACTAGTGAGGAGGTTATGACATTAACACAGGCCCAAGTGCTCAAATCAGGTAGACTCAAGAGATGTTACCCAAAACACCATGGGAGTTAATGGCAGTTAAGGAGGAAATAGAGAAGAAACTAAGTTGACTAAGTCTTTAATCTGAGTAACAAAAAGAATGGTTATCAGGCACTGGAAATTGAGAGGGGAATCTAATTTTCCTGGAAAAAAGAGTTTTAGGAATATTGTATTGAACATATATATTAAATCTCACTGTCACCTACCCTCCCAATTCCCTTACCCAACTCTATTTTTTTCTTATAGCATTTATCACTCTCTAATACAATTTACTTTGTTATTATATTTATTGACTATTATCTGTCTCCCTCTACCTGGAAAAGCTCCACAAGGGCAAGGATTTGGGGAGTTTTGTTCATTGATGTGTCTCAAGCCTCTTGGCACATAATAAGTGCTCAATAAATATACTTTAGCTGACTGCATGGATAGATTGGGCGTCCAAGAAACAATATCTACCATGCAGTTGAAAAGTGATAACTAACACACATTGAGAACTTGCTACATGCAAGGCATTGCTTGGTGCTTTAAATACAGCAAATTGCTTATAGTTACCGAAGGAGATAGAGAGCATCATCTCATCACAGGTAAGGAAAGTAAGGCACAGAGTGGTAAAGAAATAGCTTAATCAGGAAAGGGGTAGATCCAGGACTCGAGCCCAGGTAAACCAACTCTAGAGCCCACGCACCACAGTGCCTCTCAATATACGTTGCAACTCATGGGGTGAAGAGGCGAAATGGGAAGGAGCTGAAATAGTTTGGGAATCAGATGCCGAGAGATAGTTGAAACTCTGGAAGTAGACTTTGAGAATATTAAAAAAAAGACTAATGAATGATGCTTATCTTTCCCAGGGTTGCCCCATTCTTTTCCTAACCAGCATGCTATTGCTGATGTTGGTGGGCTGATGAATTTTTGTGGCACCTCTGCAGATATATATTATTGCCTTTTAATTAGGACAAAATAAATAACAGGTTAAAACCAAGCATTTTCCAGAAGTGCTGTACTTGGGAAACCCAATTCTAACAACAACAAAAAATCTCTTATTTTATGAAATTCACAGTTGAGCTCATATACACCAGGTTGAAATATTTTGAGTGTTGTGGAAAAAAAAAGATGATATGTCTGCTAGTCCTAAATAGCAGCCTCAGGAAGTCTATCTGGTAGCAAATGATAGTCTGTTCATTAGAATAGAGCAGAATACGGGGGTATCTTGTGGGTCCCCAGTAGCTGAATGCAAATGCACTCATGTTATATCAGTCTCAGTCCACATTATCACCTCTAGCTACTGAAAGCAATAAATCGTCAGATGTATACTTGGAGAGTTACATCAAAATCCTTTAAAGAGGTTGTTCTGATAATTACACTTTCGAGAGGTAATGTTGGAAAACTGTTTCACTTGTTACATTTTTTAGAGAGTTTATCTGCTTTCCTACCAGCAAATGGCCTTTTTATTGTAACAGCTACAGCTTATAGTTGAATTTGCTGACTCCTATACATTAAAATATCTAAATAAACTAATGTAAATTTTATAAAAACAAATATCAAATATCCACATCTGATTTAATTTGAATACCCAGTGTGTCAAGCTAATCGAAAATACCACCCACTTCAATTTCACAGCATTTAGCACAGAAGAAAACTGGAACTATGTGACCACTCTGGAAGGAAACAGAATTCCTCATTTCCTTGATTCTAATCTGTATTTGCTACTGGAAATATGTCCGATGCCCCACTAGGAAAAACCAGGAGAACAACAGTGGAAATTGACCAGCTTGTGGGAGATCTTCGTATGTTTTAAAAGGTAAATGATCACGTTTCAGCAATTCAGGAAACTTGTTTGTCATGGACGCTTGTTTACATCTCTCTAGGCCTCCCTTTCTTCAGTTGTATCACGTGAGTTTCTTCAATTGCATCATGTGAGTTTTAACCTAGAATCTCTAAATCCATGCCGCCAAAGTCTAGATTTCCTGTGGCATCTTCATGATTTTTACCACATGTGTATACCACTGAACTATTATTTATAACCGTTTTCCTTTAAGCTAACTTTTAAAAGATCTAAATACATTTACCTTCAAAATAAAACTTTACATGACTACTCATAAGGAAAACCAGCATCATTTGCCATTGCTAGAAAGTAGCTATAAAAATAATTACAGTGAAAATAAATGTAAACTTATATCTTAGGTAGGTACTGTCTTTAAAAGCTATGATTCTGGGACCTGCTCTTTCTATGACAGAGAAGGAGATGAGTAAGTGTTAGAGACATAAAACAGAACTGAGTTATCAGAAGGATTAAAAGACTATTGAAAAGAATGAACTTCACTATGGCACTTATTGCATTTTAAATGTAATAATATCCCATGTCCACCCCACCCCCCCACCCCCCTTGGTACTCATCCTGCACTGGAAAACTGCTATTGTAGATAATCCCCAAGATTCCATTTGGCTTTAATAGTTATACAGTTTGGTAGAAAGCTCAGGCTTTGGGATCAGGCAGACTTGGATTCTGTGTGCCCTCTTCAAGTCTCAGTTTCTCTATCTGTAGGATGAAGATCCTAATTTATAGCTCACAGCGTTATGAAGATTAAATGAAGATAACTGATGTAAAATCCATAGCATACCACCTGACACATAGTAGGAGCTTCATAAATGTTAATCTTAACTTTATATTTTGTATTAATTGGATTTATCTAGGAACTTAATTTCAGGAGTGGCCCAATGATTCTGAGTAGACACATTAAAAGTGAATTTTTTTCTCACCAGTGGAATCAGACTTAATGTTTTCATAAGCTCTTATTTTTATATACTCATTTTGGAAACATAGACAAAATGTATTTAAATATAAGCATACACTATGTATAGGGAGGAAGATCAAGACATCCTACCAATACAACCAAAAGATTAATACATAGCTGAATTTTAGTGTGAAGACTTGCATAGCTAATTAGTGAAAGGAGCCCATGGGGATGAGAATGTGTTGGGAGAAGAAGTAAGGATTATGAATAATTTTTAAATCTTTATTTTCAACATAAAAAGAGCTCGTTGTTCTCAGTTGCTTCTGATAAACCCAATGGGAATATCAGTGATCTTTGTTCCTGCTGAACACTGAGAAGCATCATGTAAAATAGGAGCAAACACCTGGCTAAGGGAACGTTTTCTTGGAAGTCTACTGATAGAAAACTGTGCGGGAGGAGGGCCAGCCAAGAGAGAGAGCTCTGTAAGGTTTAATTTCAGCCCTGGATAAACACCACTCCTGCTTTCACCTGTCTTTACCTAATAGAAATGGAAAGGACTTTATCAATCAGGGCCAAGTTCAGAGAGAGAAAAGCATTTTGTGTGGAACAAAGACAAAAGTGCTTTATTTTCACAAAAATGGCACTCCATATACTGAGCTGTTTCTATATTAAAATGCTACTGTGCAAGGACCTTGGGGGCCCAGCAGTCTTAGGAAAAACTGGTGTGAACCTGGCCTTTCAAGGTAGCAGCCACTAGCATGACTTAGATAGGAAGAGAGTTGTTGTGATGGATTATTATGACTCCCACACTGTCGCTCTCATCAGTTGGGAAAGGTTTTAGAATCTGTGTGAGATTTAGCAGTAAATCTGGTTAACAAGGGAGCCCCTAGGGAAAGCAATATGTGCAAGAGAGAAGATGCTTTCTCACCTGGGATTTCTCCAGTTTTTTCTTCTCTCACTTCAGCATTTTGTACTGAGTTTTCCTGTTTCTTTCACAAACTCAGGTCAAAACAAAGAAATTCGTACTAAGATGTTACTAATAATGCATCTCCCCTCTCTGAGAAAAGCCAAATCCTAACATGATTTAACTTGAAGGAATTCAACCAGGTGGGAGCACAGGGCAGTAGGTGAGGGGCTGAGATTGGTAGTTTTTAAGGTCTTTCAGGTCATTTGACTGCTGGACCCAACATTCCTCTAAGCCATCCAGTACCAGGCCAACTCTTAGCATTGGCTAAAAACCATCTCATGAGCCATGAGTAATAAAAACGAAAGCTGGAGCACTGCTCCCTTTGGCTTTGCTTGCATACATTTCGAATGTAATTCCCTTCTCCTGGTTAGCCTCCATTACTCAGCTGTTAAGGTGTGCCATTTCTCACAATCTAGCCCAGTAGGTAGATTCTTGACAAACAACTGAAATCCAGTCTGCACTGTGCTGGAAACAAGGTAGGAACAAAGTACTATTACCATAGTTCTTCCAGAAAAACAACTGGCAATGCCTTTTCATATCCTATTCTAATTCATCAAACAGGCAGACAGTGGTTAAATATCAAGCCCCACCACCCAGAGTGAAGATGGTCTTTATAATTCTCTTTTCACTCTCGAAAATTATTATTTTATTACTTTTAAATATTTCAGGCATAAATATAGTCCATAATATAACAAATAATTGTTTACCTTCTTCATAGAGAAAGACAAAAATTTTAATAACTTGTTTCTCTTCTTATTCAAGGTCTAATTTAGGATTGTCCAATGAATCAATAATCTAATCATCTTTGAACTGAATACCTTTCTCATAGTATCTCAGATTGTCACACTTCTCTCTCCATTCATATATAGATGAACGTTGACACCAACTTTCAAGAAAGCAATCCATTGTCCGTTGGGTGCCGTGCCGTCTCACTCTCAAGGAAATTCCCGCTCTTGATCCTCAAATTCCAGTACGTATCAATACACAGTACATAACCTGTCGTGAGTGCTCAATAAACATTTATCAAGTGAATGATTTAACAATCACACATAGCTGACAATAAGGTTCACATAAAATCTTCTTGCTGCAATTGTTAGTATCCTTTTTTCCAGATGATCTTGAAAAGCATGTTGTTGACTGGTGTATGCCATCACAGAACTTTGACATTTCTCTGTTCTTATTTTAGCTGTGTGGTCCTCCTATGTCTCAATGATCCCCTGGCTTCCTGAACAGATGGCATTGCCATAAAACTTTGGAGGTATATCTTCAACAGGTTTACTTAGTGGAAGCAAGGTAATTCTACTCTCCTCTATTTTCCCCAGGATGCCAAATACAAACATTAAGAGGACAGGCGTGGTGTCTAGCCTGGTGCCTAGAACATAGTAGATGTTTAATAAAAAAATTTGCAAATTGACTGGTTACATGCCTCTCTTTCTCCCTTTCTTAATGTCATAGCAGTTGATAAAGTCACATCCTATACATTCTGGTGAAGATGGAAAGCACTAACAGTTTGGCACCTGCAACATGTCCGTCATCAGGCTGGATGCCATATCTACATTACCTCATGTAATTTTTACAGCAACCTTGTGAAATAGGTATTATTCCAATTTTACAGGTAAAGAAACTAAGGCCCAGAGAGATCTGTCATGAAATAAATACGCACACATGAAATTCTTCTTTCTCCTAGAATATCTATTCTCTTCCTATTTATTGTTTGATCAAATCGCACCCAACTTTCAAGAACCAAATTAAGACTGTTGGAATAATGTTCTTCATGGGTCTCTTGTGTTTCTGTCCATCTTCTGATGAAAGGCATTGACAGCTTTTGTGGTGGTCTATTTTTCAAGGATGTTTGTATAGCAAACAGCCTTGGAACATAGAGATAGCATCTCCCTCTGGGAAAGGACAGATTTGTTTTCTGACCAGGATAATAAGGATAATGTCTCCCTCCAGGACAAAGGTTGGACAAGTTTGCTAGCAGCCCCTTTAGAGGATTGGGGTTTCCTTAGCTCAGGGTTCCCCAGCTGTGATGCAAACCCACAGAATGTGCAGCATTCCCCTGGGCTGCTCTTTATCAGCCTTATGGGACTTGGAGGACAAGGAGAATCAATGTGAACACAAAGCTCCTGCTGCCTGCTGTGCTGTGAGTAATATAGCCTCTTGCCTCTGACCCAGAAATTTGTGTCCTCTGTCAGCATCTATGAAAATGTAGCAGACTAACTTTTCATCTTGCAAATAGGATAGAATCTCAGACTTTTCACAGGTCTTCACAAAGACCTTCTTGCTTTGGGAAGCCATATCTAACCACTCCAGCTTACAGTGATATCTCTAAGACACATTTGGCAGGGAACCCAAACTGCTGTGTAATGTATTTGTGAAGACTTTTCTTACCTCACACTTGATTATGCTGTCCTAGAGGACAGAGACCACCACTTATACTTCATCAGTTTTTAGCGTTTTTCATGCACATAGAAATTGACTCTCATTTCACTAATTGTAATTCATTAAAATGTATTGAATGTCTATTAAGTGTAGGACATTATGGTCAGAATATTTAGGTAATTATTTCCCTAACTGGTGTGTAAGCTCCTTGAAGATGGGCGTAATATTTAGTACTTCTTTTTTATCCATTATAATTCTTTATGTCTCTCATTCTTTCACTCAACAAGTATTTATTGAGAATCTGCTATGTGCAGGCGGTAGGTTATTTGCTGAGTGTACAAATGACTAAGAGAGACCCCCTGCCTTCATGGAAGTAGGGAGCTCATGGAAACTGATACGTGTAGCACAAGGAGGAAGTCTAGTCACAGGAGAAAGTACGGATCATTACGGAAACGTGGAGAAGGGCCATCCAACAGGGCTTTCATTGTATGAGGGTAGAAGCTGGCACTTCCGCTCTTGGTATTGGCAGCAGCCTATAGTGCTCAGTAGATACTGAAAAAAAGTGTTGATAGGTGGACTGATAATTCAAACTAGAAAACTTGGTCATATCCCTGCTCTGAAACATAAAATAGCCCATCTAAGACTTGGCTGGTCTATACTCAAAATGATTGTCATCAGACTCCAGTTCTACATATTTAAAAAGATATATGCAACAAGTATGTTCAAGTAAATGAACATATATTCAACACCTGGAAGAGCAGTAAGGACTAGAAAGAAGCACAAGGCATTCCTGTGCCCTTAAGATCTTTACAATCAAGTGAGACAAACCCGGAGAAACATAATCGAAAACAGGGAATGATAGCATAAGCATTGAATAGAAACTGGAGTTACTGTTAAGCTCTGGGAGTTCAATCTACTGGGGAGCAAGGGAGTTTCTTGTGACACATGGCATTTGAGCTGATGTTTAAAGGGTGAAAAGGATTTCCACAGGCAGAAAACAGAGAGCAAGGCAGCCCAGAAAAAGAGCTTGAGCAAATGCACATTTTAAAAAAGTACATAAAAAACTGATTAATTAATAAAAGGAAAGTTCAAAGAATGATTAGTAGAAAAGCAACTGAAATATAGGGCATGCACAGGACTGTAGAGAGAACTGAGGATCAGAAAGAAAGTTCCATTCAGTGCCTTCTACAAATATTTATTAAACAGCGGCTGGGGCAAATATAGCATGCTTTTAAAAAGAGGCAAAAATATAGTCATAGCTCACAACCTAATAGAGAGAGAGATAATCTAATCTAAAATAGTAAATGCCAACAAAGCACTAAGCAGGGAAGGTCTTGAATGTCACCTTAAGGGGCTCAGACATTATTCCTTAGGTAGAAGATGCAGTGAATGATGTCATCTGACCTGCGAGGAGGAGGGTAAGTCTTGGCAGCTGGGTGAAGGATGGACCAGAGGGGTGAGAGATGGAGTCAGAGAGAGCAATGTGGAAGCTTCTGTGATCATCCAGGGAGAAATGGGAAGTGGCTAAACCAGATAAAGATGAAAAGAGGAGCAAAGATATAAGACATGTTGTGAGGACAGAATCCACAGAATTTGATGACTGATTCGATGACAAAAGTGGTTATGAAGATGAATCTGAGCCTTCTATTATGGCTAATAGAGAGAATGATGCTGGTAATAATAGTGAACATTCATCAAATAAAATATCCTTAACTGGGAAGGTCTCAAAGTCTTTGCGTTAATTAAGCAATCTCTATCATACCTTTTTTCTTTAACTTTTATTTTGTCATAATTTCAGACTTAGTATCAAATATTTTTAAAGCAGGAAAGGTAAACACTTAGGACTTCTCAGGAAATACTCTAACTTGTGTTTTTTAGCTTTAGGACCATTAGTGGATCATAAAATCAATTTAAAATGTCATAAAATAATACCAAAAAAGTGAAATAGAGTAAAGCAGAACAAAGTGTAAAATATCGTAGTGATCAGTCATATACAGGTTATTACTTTGTGGAACTTTGTCTTCTGTTTTATGTACACACTGGGTCACAATGTCAAGTACGTGTCTTAGTGTGAGTTGCAGTTTAAAAAGTTTGAAAGCCACTGATTTAGACAGTGCCGGACAAGCCACCTCTCTAGTCTAAACCCTCCCCCTTCTCCAGTTTATAGGGTTAAAGTATTGACAGGAACAGAAAGGGATGTAGGGCTTGAGACATCTTTCATTACTTTGACAATGAACAGCAATCCAATTATCTAAAACAATGAATGCTATTATCTTGTTCGGAGTCTATGGCTTCTGTGATTTTTAGAGAAGGGCTGAAGCTCAGGATTATCCACATCTGGTCCACTTGCCAGTCAAATCAGAAACAGGGAGAACAAACGCATTATTTTGTTTTCTTTTCTTGAGGTTTCAAATAAGCCTTTGCTAAATATTTTGAGACAATAGAATTAAAAATGTAAATTGTGACTCCTCATAGATTTCATTTTTCCACTAGATGGCAGAAAAAGCACTTGGAATGGAAATTATATTGTCATCTATTTAAACAGTTCTGCAGACTTTTTTTAATAAAGCAGGTGTATTTTATTTCAGTTTGAACAGTACAATATGATTATAAGACAACTGATTATTTTATAACTAATTTAATCATATTAAACTTAAAATTAAAGAGAAAACTTTAAATTAGTTTGCGTTTGTATATGTACATATGTCCATCCATCTCAATTAAGGTATACAGGATGGAATTTCATTGGCTTTAGAATACTGCCATGCTCTCCTTTAGTACAAATTCTTTAATAGAAGGTAATATTTAAACACACTTCTAAGTTAATGTAGAAACATTTTTAATGTTACACATGGATATAATTAGGTGTACAACTGAGATGTACTTAATTATCATCTATTGCAGATAATGATATAATATAAGTAAAAAGATTGATGATAAATCCATGATTATAAACTCAAAATACTATTTTTTTAAATAAAGAGAATAAAAACAATGTGAACTAGGTAAATATAACAAAAAAGTTAAACGTGGTTTATCTTTTTCTTTTCATGCTAATAATTCTAATGTAGCATTTTTACCCTGCATTTGTGTGTCATGTTGCTATTTATCAACAATAATTCTCTACGGGTATTTATAATTAAAACATTTTACTAGGCACTTGAGAAGAGTTTCACAGACAGTTGTACCCTTGCTCTGGTTCACTTACCATCAAAGAGAAAATTCTCTTATGGACCTTCAAAGAGCAAAATGGTTAATAAATGATTTATACAAAAGAGAATGTCTAAGGAAACATAGACACAATTCGATAATGTAATATCAAATTATGAAATAAAAACGATTTCAAAGAAACTAATTATTTTGTCCCTGTTTCAGTCATTATTTTTGCTACTGTTTATCTTACAACTGGTTTTCCAAAAGCTGAAGAGTGACCAACAGCAAAAGAGGAGAAAAAAGAAAGGATGGAAAATGGGAGGTGATGAAAAGGAGTGAAGTCCAATCATTCATGAAGTCCATGAACGTGTTGAGTGCTTCCTCTGAGTCAGGCTTTGCAGTGAGGATGGAAGCATGGCTTCTTCTCTCAAAAAGAGAACACAATATAGAGAGAGGAGGGGAGAGGTTAGGTGAGCAAAGGGGAAGAAGTAAAAGGATTGAGGAGATTACATAATAGTCGCCGTGGTGGTGGTGGTGGTGGTGGTGGTGGTGGTGGTGGTGGTGGTGGTGGTGGTGGTGGGTGGTGGGTGGTGGGGGCTGGGGGGTTGGCGGGGGTGGTGGGTGGTGGGTGGTGGGTGGTGGGGGGCTGGGGGGGGTTGGCGGGGGGTGTTGGGTTACCTCAGCTTTCTCTCTCCCAGCCTTTGCTGACTGCCTCTTCCCCCAAAACATGAAAACAAAAAGAGAACTCTGGAGCAGGCTGGTAATGCCCACAATCCTCAGGAAACTAAGGAGGGCCTTCTGGTGGCACGAGATGGGCAGAGACGGGAACCACATCTACAATGACCCCCAGGCAGCTTACTATCTGTGTAAAGTAAGTTATACTCAGTTTCAGAGTCTCTAGCTTAGAAAACCCTGTGCTGTGCTGTGTATGGCAAAGATGCCTGATCTTGTTTTGAGTCAAGTTGGGTAAAAAACTTTCTGGGAATGAGCGACTCTTATGGTGAGGTAGATTAGTTTCTAGGACAAGGTAATTTCAGAGTAAATGGTCTCCCCTGGTGAATTGAGTGGAAGACTAATTTTAGGTGCTTCTTTGTAAAGACAACTGTGAGTTAAAAACAAAATAAATTTTAAAATAAAAGAGAATATGATTTGGTGTACTTTTTTTTTTTTTTAATGAAGAAAACTTACCTTAGATTTGCAGGAGCACTTCCTTGCAGAACCAAATTTTAAAAAATCCCACTGGTCCTAATCCAGGAACCTTGGATCCTATTGCCTCCTGGTTGTGGGGCCCTGGCCAGTCACTTTACATCTCTGGGCCCTGGTTTCTTAAATTATGTATCATCTAGGAGTTAGACTTCCAGCTCCAACATTCTCTGCAGAGAAGAATAGAGACTGTAACAACTTACTGTTTAATTGAAACAAACCGAAAAGAACTCTGGTCCAAGGTGCCAGCGCCAATCTCCTACCCCAGCTTTTTAGGTCTTTGGTTCCCCTCTTATTCTCCAATTAAAGAAATAAAAATTTGGTCTTTCTCTATGAACCTTTCTCATGCTCTGCCCTTCCCAATGGTGTCACTGAAAGTGTCTTTGTAAATCTACACCCTGAGACACAAAGTAACTCCTTCAGGGCTGTATGAATAGCTTTCTTTTGCCTACCCAGCTCTGAGGGGATTCTGCCCCAGAAACGTTGAGTGGTTTTTGTTTTCCTGCCTAAACCGGGAAGAATGTAGCAGGAGCCCTCAGAGTACACAACCCTGTAGATCTACACTTAGCACATCTCTAATGGGCTCAGCACGATGACAGCTGTGATGAATACCATGGCAATTTCCCAGATAAGATTGTATCCGAGTAGGGGTTACATTTCCTTCAGAGTCGCAGAGGCCATTATTATTCTTTGGAGAGGAATTCTGAGGAGGAAATAGCTGATTTAAATGCCTGCTGTCAGTTGCCAAAGAAATTGTTACAAAATACTGCTATAATGATGTGGAAAACTGCCCATTGCTTTGGATTCCACATTTTTTGTGCTCCCTCCCATTCATCATCGGAGATTTCCCTTTTAGCCAACCAGGTTCCTGAGGACTGGTGAGCTCTAAAAGCCTCAGAACTTGGAGCCTCAGTTTGGAGTTCTTTGGCCTTTCACATTATGGTTCTTCAATAATTCTTGTGACCTCTTAAATGCTCATGAGGTCTTCTAAGAAAGTGTGTATAGTCCAGAAATACCAACCCAGCTTGCCTATATATTACATTTCATTCATTCAGCAAGTACTGGTTGAGCACCCATTAGTTTTCCACACATGAGAAGGCAGAACAGGGTAGCGGTTCTAAGCAGAATTTCTGGAGTCAAACTGCCTAGATTCCAACCCTGGCTCCACCAGGATCACTAATTGTGTGACCTTGTGTGAAAGTTGTGTGACCTTAGACAAGTTACCCCAGTTTCTCTCTCTGCATAAAGGTCCTAATAGCAGTCCCTACCTCTTAGGGTTGAAATAGAGAACTAAATGATTAACATTTGTAAGGTGCTAAAAATAATAATAGCTCACAGTAAGTGTTCATTAATATGTTCTATCTATGTATAAGGAAGACAACATTATTACCGTCAAAGAATTTACAGTTTAAGATCTAAGAGAAGGCATGTACAGAATAATATAAAACAAGATCGATGCATCCTTGAGTGACCCACAAAAACCTTGAGCAAAGAAAAGCTTGAAGTAAACACAGAAAAAGTAATGGTAGACAAATTTGACACTTTAAAAGTTTCATACTTTTGGACACACACAAAAATATCATAAAATCCTATAGGCAACAAAATAGGAAAAAATACTTGCCACAGCTTTGGTTGACAAAGGACTAATATCCTGCACCTACAACAATTGGCAGGAGGACGTGTACATGTGAAAACTTTGGAGAAGAATTTCAGACCAGCAGAGGAAGATGCTGATTGCAAGATAAAGTGTTTGAATTAAATTTGATTAAAAAGAAAGAGTCATCAAAGTTTTCTAGAAACAGGACTGTTCCTAAGGAAGATTAATCTGGCAGCGGCACGTTGGGTTGTTTGGAGAGTAAAGACGAGTTAGGATGCTGACAAGATCAGGTGAAAGTGGGCAGGTTCCTAGGGGAGGAATGCAAAGGAGAGAATGGTCATGAAAGTCCAGTTGGGTCAATAAGCGCTTGACGATGACTGAGATTTTCTGAGGTTTTAGAGCCCAAATAATTGGGAAAATGGAGGTTAATAAAGTTTAGGAAGATGGGAGAAGAAACAGGTTTGGGGGAAGCTGATGGGTTTGTTTCTGAAAGTACATAAGTGTAAGGTATCAGCTTTAAAATGAGAGAAAGAGAGATTAACAATTGGTTGGAAAAGGAAGTTTGGAGCTCTAATGAAAATGTAAACCAAGAGATATAGAATTAAGATTCATCCTAGTAGAAGTTGAGGCAAGGGACATAGATAAGATCACAGAGTATTTCCCCCGAAGTGGGAGCAGAGGCCTGAGGAGCATGGCAGGGAAGGGCTTGTGGAAAATACAGATTCCTAGACCCCATTCATACCTACTTAATCAGAATTTGCGGATGACATTAGGAATTTTATATTTTTAAGTTACCAACATTTTTTTATAAACATGAAAGTTTGAGACCCTATGCCTCAGGAGGTGAAGGATGATGAGAAAAAATCAAGATGGTTAAAAGTTAGCAAGTCAATCTGGGTGGTGTAGTTAAGGAAGGAGGAAATCACGAGGAGTGGGCATCAAATCTTCAATTGAATCATAGAAGAAAAGGGGAGGGGATTTTGGTTTGTACATTAGAAAACTAGGGTGAAGGAGTGAAGGGGTAGAGAGGAAGTAGAGATGATTGGAGATAAGCCTTTCCTGAAGTGTGAGAGTAGAAGAAAGGAATAAGAAAATGTTGGCTTGTGGCTATAACAGAATTAAGGGTATGACTTATATTTAAGAGTAAGTGGGACCTAATTATGTTTGGGAAAGAAGAGGATCCAGTGGAAAGGAGAGAGAAGATATGGAAGAAAGAGAAAGGATTGTTGATAGAACAATGTCACAGGAAAGGTAAAAAGGACCAGCCATGGAAAACTTCTTTCCTCTTGTTTCAGAAGAAGGAAAACACGTTGAGCTGGAAGGCAGGGAAGTTGAAGAAATTCAAGCTGATGTCTTTGATTTTCTAAGTAAACTGGTACAGGGTTTAGAGGTGGGAATATGTGGGCACAACATGCGATGAGTAAGTCACTAAAGGCAAGGTGGAGAATTAGCATGTGCTTCTGGGTCTCTTCTCC